GGGTACATCCCAGGAGCTCACCTGCCAGCCAGGGAGAGACTGTCCCCCAAAATAAAGTAGACAGCAATAGAAGCCACCAGAAGTTGGAAAGCTAGATTTTTGTACTGTCAGCAGTTTAGAAAAATGAGGTAGCAAGAATCAAATGAAGTCTTTTGTCCTGCCCTTGTTTTTGAGTTTATATGACTAGCTCACATGGCAGCTATTGAAACTTCAGGTAACTTTGCCTTTCTGGAAACGTTCCGACGTCTTCCCTGTCTCCACTGCACACATCGACTCACCTGTTGCATGGCAACCTCAGCATGGGATGACACACACACATTTCCTCATTTGCTGCAGCTTTTCAGCCTAGCTCATTCCATCAGCTGAGGTACCAACTTTAACTACACCTCGGTCCTTTTGCTTCTCTTTGGAAGTTATATGTTCTATCTCTATTCTTTCAACAGTTAAAGCTCACTTAGTTTCACAAAAGTTTTGATCAGTATCTTTACTTTTCTCCCAAATAAAAGAATCTAAGAATTCTGCTCTAACCCCCTTCAACATGCATGGCATTGCCCAGCATTCTGATATCATTCTGTCCAGTTCCTAATTACGTGTCACCTTTATGTAAAGCTTACATTTACATCACTTACCAGGGCTTTGAACATTCTATCTTCTTGGATCTGCATTGCACCGGAACTCACTGGCCCTAATCCATGTCTTGTCAATAGTCCATGCTAGTGAAACTGAAGTACTGGCGTATGCATCTTCCTTTTCACTGCTCTTTACTGCTATGTGTAGCTTTTGAACACATGGCTGAAGTCTATGAAAGTTGTTTCTGAACCCTGAAGGAAACATACAGACTTCTGGAAACCATCTAGAATTATGGTCAATGAGGTACCACTTGAAAGTCATACAGGTAGCTAAATTTGGACTGCAAACCATCCTACCTATCATCAAGATCAAGACACGTTACTGTTGTCTCCCTCATGGGTTATTTATTGCTGTGTATTGTGGGCAGTTTTCTCCTTCCACATTTATATGGGTTCCAGACATTGAATTCGGTTCACAAGGTTTGCATAGAAAACCATATGACCACGAGTACTTATTCATCTCTGTGCTAAGGGTATTCAGCTTTAGTGGAATCCTTCTTATCAACTTTCCCACATTCCTTAGAAGTTTAAAGTATGCTGTGCTTGGCAATAACTGAGTAAAGATGGTTTTATCAGATCCTTGCAAGGATCCCACTCTTAGCTTTGTTTTGAAGATCAGCTTTCTTTTGTGCCTCTTCAGCAGTGTGTTAAGTTTTTTGTTTTTTTAAAAACACAGCTAGATGTAGCTCAGTGTTAAGAGTGTTTGCCTAACCTGCGAAGCCCAGAATTCAATCCTAACAAGTCAGGGGTGAGTTTTTTTTTTTTTTTTTTTTTTTAATGTTTATCTAGCATGCTACTTCCCTCTGCTCAAAGGAGTCTCAGGGAATCCTAATTCACCATACTTCAAAAGCCTGACTAACAAAAAAGGAGCAACACAAATCCTAAAAGGATTAAGATGAAGACAAGGAAGAGGGTCACAGGGTCGGCGAAGATAGGTGAAGACCATCACCTATTTGTTTGAAAATGTCATAACAACAACAAAAAGATGAAGAAAGGAAGTGCATAGAAAGCGACTGGAACACAATGAGGGTCCACCCACTCCCTTTTCCTCAGGCACATCACAGCATTCGGACTGCTTGTCCAATTGCACTAGAGATACCCAGGAATGGCAGCAAGACAGCTTTTGTGTCTTCAAAGGTGGAAGTGACTGGCCTTTGCTGCAACAAAGCCAGAAATAGAGACCAGCACAGTACTCTCAAGTACTAGAAAGAGACCACTTGTCACAGGCTCATAAAAATGCTTGAAATTCCTACAGTCACAGCAGCAGGGTGAAGCTCTGGGCGAAGTTCACTTGTGGCTTGTTGGCCCTGGCCACTGTACACTACACAAAATGAAAACTCACAACTGTCACAAAGCAAGACCCCAGATGTCCTCAGTGGCAATTATCTACCTTGTTTCTCCAGCTCTCTTTCTATCTGGTGGAAATCCTGGCTGCAATAGCTGAAGAACTAATGTTCTAAAGGGAGAGTTACACAGCAGGAAAGTGAGAAGCCTGTTCTATGAAAAGAAGTTGGCTCCAGGCAGTATCTTATTTCTTTCATGTTTATGTTTCCTTGAACTAGGCCCTATCTCTGGAATGATTCATTTTCATACCTGACCTCTATGGCTTTGAATAGAGCCACTTGCTCTCTAGTTGAAGGACCTTTTTGTAGACAGAAGTAGTTCATTAATTCATAATCCAGGACACTCTTTCTACCTTAAAGGGCATCATATTCAGGGCCAGCCTGCCCTCGGCAGCCTGGGAATTATTACCCGGATGATTTGCAGGACAGAGAAGTACCAGGACACTCAGCCTCTGCACTTCCTCGGAAACAAATGCTTCCTGTTACAGATAATCTTCCTGTGGTCATCACCACACTATCCATACTCACTACTATTGCCAAGAGTGAGTCCGTCATCCCAGGTTCCCATCGAAAATAAGCAAGTGTATTAGACCAAGGTTTCAAAGTAAACATCTATCACATAACCTAGGTCACTTTACAAGGTTCGGATTCCCGAGACCAACCTATGAATCAATTTCCAGAATGTCATGGTGCTGGCATCGTACCCATGGTCCTTGTGCCCGCAGGCAGGCACTCTATCTCAGAGCTATAGGTCCATCTTTCAGCAAGCCTGGGGGTGAGTGGGAAAGGTAGCCTGTTTTATTTTCTGAGGTAAGTCTCTGGCAAGATAGCCCAGGACGGCCTCGAACTTGTAGCAGGCGTGCTTCAGCTTCCCAAACGCTAGAATCAGAGGTTATATTTCACCACAGTCAGTTCTGGAGTCTACATTGCCAACCAACAGGCCAGGTAATTCTCATGTACTTGCTTAGGGCTGGGAAACCAGAGCTACCGATTCTACAATGCTAAAACACCACTAAGGGGAACAGAGAGATGATTAACAGTTAAGAACACTTAACTGTTCTGTGTCCAGAGGACTCAAGTTCCATTCCAAACGACCACAGCTAACAGCTCACAAATGCCTGTGATCCTAGCTCTGAGGGGAATCTGGTACCCTGTCTGGCTCCCTAGGGCACCCACACAACTAGCATACACTCATACAGACACACATACGCAAACATATATATGTATGAAAAATGTCTTGGAAAGTACTGAGAGGGGCAGCAGTTAAGAGCACTGGCTGCTCTTCCAGGGCACCCAGGTTCTGTTCCCAGCATCCACATGGTAGCTCACAACCATCTACTGTTAACCCCAGTTCCAGAAGATCCAGCACCTTTTCTAATCTCTTTGGACACTGCAGGCATGTGATACAAAAGACAACACTCATGCACATACAATAAAAATAAAAGCTAACAAAACTATTAAGAAGAGTCACAAAGGAACAAATTCCAAATGTCAGTATGAGCAAGAAGTATTAAGAGGCCTCAAAAGCACTTTAAGCCTGTCAAGAAACTTACCAGAACATCAGACATCATGGAACAAGCACCTGGGAGCCAAAGGCTGAAGGACTGCCACAAATTCCAGATGAAACTCATCTACATAATGAGTTCTAAGTCAGCCAGGGCTACAGTGAGGCTTTGTCTTTAAAGCCAAACAAACCAAAAGAAACTTAACATATAGGGAGGGCTCTCAGACACCGGTCACTTCGACATTTCACTTTAGGTATGGGCACGAATACACCGAAGGATTGGCTGGCCATCTTGCAATGTAGCCCAGGCTGGTGCTTGCCACAAGGGTACTGGGATTAGCAGTACGCACCACCAGGACTCTACGATCTAGATCTTTGAAAAATACGCGTATAGCTGACCGTGGTGATATGTGCCTGTAATCCCAGCACCGAGAACACAAGCGGGAGGACCACAAGCTTAGGGCTGGCCTGCAGTAGGGTTTCTATCTACCCCAATACCGACGGCCAGGGTGGAAATCAACCTTGCTGCAGAGCAATGATTTTATTCTTCAGATCTAAGACTACAGTATAAGTGAAAATTAAGCCTTAATGTACATAGCTACCATGCTGGGGTGGCCTGGTTTCATAAGCCCAAAAAAGTTCTCAGACTTAAATCTAGTATAATGTGGTGATCCTGGCCAGCCAAACGATTTTTTTTTTAAATATTTAGTTTAGTGTTGTCTGCATGTATGCCTGCAGGCCAGAAGAGGGCACCAGATTTCATTACAGGTGGTTGTGAGCCACCATGTGGTTGCTGGGAATTGAACTCAGGACCTCGGTAAAAACAATCAGTGCTCTTAACCTCTGAGCCATCTCTCCAGACCCAGCCACACGATTTTAACTGAAGATGTGAGCACACAGAAAGTATTTTACACAAACCCTCTTGAGCTCTTAGATCGAATGCCAGCATATTGAGGGCCTGGAGAAGGGTCTTCCCATGACTCTGGATCTTTGGCACGTGCCATCAAGATAACTCCCCTGATCTGGTTTCTCTTATCCAGTTGTACACAATTTGGCAGGATATCTTATCAAATAGCCTGACTAACTCCACATGGCCTGTGATTAGTGCACCTGTGCAGAGGAGCATTTACTAAGGTGGCAGTTGGGATTGCTAGCTTCTAACCCTCAAGATTCGGTGTGTTCTGTTCCAAAGAGCCATGTATTCAGAGGGCCTTGTCAAATGATGTGAGAAACCCCCAGAGAATGAGGAGCCATCAGTCTGCAGGCTCAAGTTTCTTTCTCATTAGCTCTACTTCCTGCTCTACTTCAGCCACTGAGTAACCTGTCTTAAGACTCTGGGTGGGGAGTGTTCCAAAGAATGTTCCTTGATAAGAGTTGGGACCAAATCGTAAGTAAGCCCATCCTGAGACAACCTTTTTCCTGCAGCTCTGAAAAGAAAAAGAACACTGAAACCAAAATAACCAAGATGAAAAGGAGGGAGGAAATACAGCTGGAAGTGAAGAAACGACACAGACCTCCCACATACACACTTTAAAAACTTTATTTATATAAAAAACTCATTTGTTTTTAAAAGCATTAACAAGAGAGAAAGAAAGAGAGAGAAGATACAGAGCAGAAGACATGCCCCTTAGTAGTGTTCGGTGGGAAGGTAGGATTTTTGGTTTGCTGAAATTGAATGTTTAGTGTTTTTATAAATGAAAGCGGAAAAAACAAAACAAACAAACGAACAAAAAACAGTTAAAGGTCCCCAAAAGCCCATGGCTATTCTATTACCCACACCCCACCGAGAGAAAGAGCACCAGGAAGAGCGCGGAGGACAAGAAAAACCAAGACTAGAGCCAGGTCTGTGGGGGGAGGCTCCCTGTGCAGTGTCCTCTGAGGGCCATGGGAGGAGAGGCTCTGATTGCCAGAAAGGGTTGACTGCGTAGGAAGACATGGGAGGGATGGGGTAAGAAGATCTGGGAGGGAAGCAAAAGGTTAAAAAAATTGTAATGCATAGGGAAAGGGGTTGGTGGGCTGTGCACTTTTCTCCTACCCCATAGCCTCAATATATTAAGGAACAGGACAAGAGGGATAAAGAATTCCAGTTGCATTGAACAGAGCTTTTAGATTAAGGAATTGAAGGCAAATCAGGAAAAAAAAAGTTTACAAAAAAAAAAAAAAAACCCACATAGTAGCGGATTCCAAGTTGTAATAGTCCCTACAATTGGAAGGGTATAACAAAGGCTAAAGAACTGGAGAGAAACCCTTGGTTCCCTATAATCTTCCAGAGATGATGGGAACTAAGGACAACCAAGGAGTAGGAGTCATGGCACTCCCAACTACTCGCCTCACTTTGAGACTTAGCGGGATGGGATTTTCAGCCCCAACTGTACATTGTTAAGCAGAAGCCTACTGTGGCTAAATCAGAGGCTACAACAACCCCCAACGGGGACTTGAGGTTCCTTAGGTCAACACTCCTTTCCTTCAGCTACCGAGGGTCACCAGTGGGTAAGAAAGTAACAAAATCTAACTTGCAAAATCATGAGAAATGAGACTGCAGAGGCAAAGAAAGGCACGTGGAAGAGGAAGGAGATGCACCCCAGGCCAAAGGCACGAAGAAGAGGCAAAGCCAGGGCAACTCCTACCTTAGCAGGGCAAAGGGGGCAGGAGTTATGTACAAGTCTTGTAGTTGGCCAACAAATCCAGGGAGGGGAGAGGGGAGAAGGAGGGACAAGCCTATAGAGAAGAGAGATGGGGAGGGGAAGGTGGGGAAGGCCAGCTTGAAGCTTCCTGCAGCTCCAGACTAACCGCTTCATGTACATTCCTTCTACTTCCTCCCGGAAGCTCATCTTCTCGACCAAAAGTGGTCCATGGCATTCTCTTTTCACATAGCCTTGCAAACAGCCAGGTCATTAGCAGATTCATCACAGGGTAAGAGAGGAGGGTTGAGGACAGCCTTGGTCAGGGCAGCATCCCAAGGTTGGCCTGAAGCTGACAGAGGAGATGGAGTCTGTAGGTTCTTTGTGGTCCCTGCCTTGGACAGGAGGAACAGGAGTTCCTAATCCCAGTTTGAGGAGTGCCTCACTTACTTGAGGGCCCTTGCCAGGTGGAATGTGCCAATGTTTCCAGCCTTCTTGGCTTCAAAAACAGCCACTGGATAAGGGAAGAACTCACACTTCCCATTATCCAAAACAAAATTAAAAGTTCCCTCCCCACCAGAAAGATAGTCTTGATTAGAAGTCATCAGTTTGTCAGAGTGCTGAATACTGCATATACAGCGTGCAATTTTCAGTTCTTCCCATGGCTTCCAGTGAAGAGTTCCACTCTCCCCTCCCTCCACACAGGCCAAGATTCCGGGGAGAGCTGGCAAAAAGAGCTAATCTGCAGCAGTATCTCAAGATACGCAAATAGCTGAGTCAGGTTTCTTGGGGAAACGAGGTAGGGGATGGAAGGACAGGACAATTAAACTTCAGTGGAAGATGTCGGGAACTGGTGGAATGAAGGCAGCCACTCTGGGCTGTACGGGTAGGAGGCAGCCTGGCAGTTGGCACAATAGTCCAGCGAAGAAAGGAAAAAATCATCAGTCCATTTCACCACCAAAAAATAAAAGTAATATATTATAAGCCCAGATGGAGCAGCAGAGTGGTGTTAAATCTTCTGCTGTGGGGAAAGAAAGAGAAGGTTATTAATAAGGCTGAGAACAGAAGGCCTGCCGGAAAACAAGGCAGCGGAGCAAATCTGGAGGCAGGAAAGCAGCAAACGGCAGAGAACCAGATCACCCGCTGCATCCCAGCCTTTGAAGGTCAGCATGATTGGAAAGGGTAGGCACACAGAGGCCTCCTTCTTGAGGACCATTTTAGGAATGACTGGAGGACCTACCATGGGGGAGTAAGACACTTGGTCCCCCTCATCATCCAAAACCAACACATCCAACTCTTCCTCCAAAGATTCCTGCCCCTCGTCCTGCTGTGAACACATGCAATTTGTTAGTAAGAGAGCCAAGATAAGAACTCTAACTGTGTGCCAGTTAGGCTAGAAGTAGAAGGGTGAGACCCCTCGAGGTAAGTGAGAGAACCGGGTAATGTATGGCAGAACAGATTAGTTAATGTTAGTCTCATCAGTAACGCTTGCAAAGACTTCCTCCAACACAGTCAATGAACAACACCCCAAGAAACTTCAAGATGTATCAAACCTCTACTTTTTTCCTGAAAACACCTACCAAAGAATGATATTACCTTTCTCTTTTCTTTCCCAATTTCAAGTACCACACAGTTTCAAAATACTATCTGCCTCACAGACACAGCTGTGTATAACAAGGATTTACCATCAGGGGTGCTCCCTTCAATGGCTCCATATCACCCAGATCCCCAGATCGATCCAGTGTTCTGTTGTGGTCTCCTCTTTCATTCAGTGTGGAATAGTTGTTATCTAGAGGGAAAAGGTAAACAGAGACAATATATTCCCTGTAGCATACAATGTATATAAATTAGGCACCTCAGTAGAGAAGTCAGCTGTTTCCCAAGCTCCACAGCATTAAAGACTGATGCTTTAATATTTAAACATGACTCGAATATAATGGGAAAGATAATGTATGCGGTGGGCACACCCAGTACTAGGGATGAGTTCAGTGGTAGAGTGGTTGGCCTAGATTCAATTCCCACCACTGCAAAAGCAAGAAACGGAAAACAGTGCAGGACACCAGGGGCCATGGTGGGTGACATCAGGGATCAGGCTGCTTCTGAGAGCCCTGAAATGAGGAGAAGACAGAGAAATGAGCGGCAACTGCAAGGACAAAGCAAACACAACGCGAGTTCAGCCTTGGGGAATGAAAAGAAATTAGAAGAGCAAAGGGGAAAGCTTAACACACCCAAGGCTTTTAAATAATGCACAGTGTTAGATGAAGGGTGGATCCACAGATGCTCAAGGCCATCCTCAGCTACACTGTGAGTTCAACTACAGTCCCAGCCACGGCAGACCCTAAGAACAATAGAGTAGAAAACACAGGAGGCCCAAGAGTTCAAGGTCATCCTCAGCTATATTGTAAGTCCAGAGCTAACCTGGGCAATGAGACCCCGCCAAAATATAAATAAATAATTTTTTTTTTTTTTAAAGAAAAAGGAAGCAGCATGTAATCAGCCAAACTGAAGGCAAGGAGAAAGAACAGAGAGAGATCGGGGCAGATTATATGGATACAACCAGACTTTCTGAGAACATATGTTGGAAGAGGGGCACCAAGAGTGCAAGGTCAGGGCTGGAGTGATGTGACTCAGCAGCTGCAAGGCTCTGGATGCAGCTCCCTTCACTCACATGGGGGCTCAGAACCAGGGTCTGAACTTTGAGGGCATGAAGCACCGCACATGGTAAACAGACATGCCAGCAAAATACTCATACACTAAAATAAAGAAAATATGCCAGGCCTGGTAGCACAGGTCTTTAATCCCAGCACACGGGAGGCAGAAGTAGGTAGATACCTATGAGTTCAAAGTCAGCCTGATGTACAAAGTAAATTTCAGGACAGCCAGGAACACACAAAGAGATCATGTCTCAAAAAATAAAAAGATGTTTTAAAAAAAATTTTTTAAAGAAAATTTAAGGTCATTTCATCCACAGCAACACATAAAAATGTAGAAAAGACCAGATTGATCAGATTTTATTATATTTTCAGATAGCCTCTCAAATGAAGATTATTAATCACGGTCCTTCAGGGATGGCAAATGGTGAGGGTGTTCAGAGGGATACAAACAACAGGCAGGGGAGATCGTATCTGTAATCCCAGCACTTGGGAGGTAAAGGTAGGGGATCAGGAGCTCAAGATCAGCCTCAAGTGCACTGAGTTCAAGAGCAGCCAATGTGAAGTGAAACTCTGTCTCAAAAGAGAAAGGAACACAGAAAACACCTACTCACCCCAATTAAACACTATTCTGCAACATTAGACAGGAATTCATCACCTACCTAATGACTTTGTGTTTGACCCCATATTGCTCATTGGAATTTCTTCCCGGTCAGGTTTCTTATCTACATGGAATTAGAAAGTTATCCAAATGAAAATCCAATACACCACAATCTATATAAATGACATTTCTCCCTGGCATGCCATCCTTCCCTAGCTCTATTCAAATAAAGCTTTACTCAGCACATACACTGTGCCAAATCCTAACCACAACTACAGTTGTTACAGGAAAGCCCTCACAGACTTTAATCTCTTTCCTATAGAAACCCAAACACAGGAAACATTGCAGAGGCCAAAAGATGGCTACCAAGACTGATGGCCTGAGTTCAGTTCCTGAAAAAACTTGTGGAAGCAACTGACTCGCACAAGCTGTCCCGACCTCCACAGATGGACCTACGCTCAAACAAAAAGCTCTTCAGCAACCTGAGCTGGTATATCTCAAAGCTCCTTTAGTCTTAAAACTTATGACAGTCTAGACTGGAAATGTGGCCCAAAAGTAAATAAAGCGTTAGGCACCAGAAATAAAACCTTAGATTCAGTCCCAATCACACACACACACTCACTCACACATACACACACACACACGCGCGCACAGGAAATAAATTAGGGTGCAAAGGACTTTTATCAGTGTGGAATAAGTACATATTACTATATTCAGAAATGTAAACATCTATTCTACTTAGAAATAAATTTATTACATAATCATAAACATCTTCAATTTAAAAAGCATTGTGTATGGACAGGCAAGGTAGCTCAGCAGACCAAGCACTTGCTATGCAGGTCTGACAGTCTGAGTCTGACACCCAGAAGCCAAGGAAACCTGCAAGAACCAGCTGCAAAGAGCTGTCCTCTGAGCTCCACATAAAAGCCACAATACAAGCCGGGCGATGATGGCGCACGCCTTTAATCCCAGCACTCGGGAGGCAGAGGCAGGCGGATCTCTGTGAGTTCGAGACCAGCCTGGTCTACAAGAGCTAGTTCCAGGACAGGCTCCAAAGCCACAGAGAAACCCTGTCTCAAAAAAACAAAAAAAAAGCCACAATACATATCATGTATACAATAATAATAACACTACATTTCAACGACAAAAACCAAAGTGGGGAGAGCACTGTTTAACATTTTTGTACGCCTCTTTTAACTTTTAATATCACACTCCCATAATTAGAAGGCAGAGGCAGGGGATCAATGCAAGTTCCAGACCAGCCTGGTTCTACAGGAGTTCCAAGTAACTGTGGGCTCATGGCAAGACCCTGCCTTAAGAAAACCTGAAAAAAATAGATGAGTTACCCTGTCTTGTCCTTAAATAAAACATTTACTCATAGAAGATTTTGAATGTCATGGCACTGTCTCCCTGCAAGAAAATGGTTTACAGAACTATGCAAACGTCATTTAAATATGCATGTATATTTTTAAAACATTTATATCATATCATTACTTTATAATCATAAAAGCCATTTTTGTTATTTCTATTCTTAACACTTTATTTTTTATTTTTTCTATTATTACGTCTTGTGTGTGTCCATCCATACTAAGACATGGATCCGGAGGTCAGAGGACAACTTTCAGGAGTCATCTCTCTCTCAGGGAGGAAGTCAGGTTGTCAGGGTGGAAGGAAGTGAGTTTACCTGTTTAGCTACTGGGGAGGGTTTTTCAAGACAGGGTTTCTCTGTAGTTTGGAGCCTGTCCTGGAACTAGCTCTTGTAGACCAGACTGGCCTCAAACTGGCCTGTCGCTGCCTCCCAAGTGCTGGGATTAAAGGCGTGTGTCACCACTGCCTGGCTGGCCCTACTTTTTTAACCAAAGTTATAAGGTTTCCACATTTATTTTTGGGAAATGCTTGCCGAATAATCACGTCTCAGCTGCGCCATAAAGTAAAGCAGTACTCTTTAATAAAATAGCAGCCAGTCTAATAAGTAGGCCTACAGTCTGCCTCTAGACAGCCCCAGCGGCTCCCACACAGCACAGGTGCTGCACACGTCCTCATTGGTGTGCACTTGGGGACACTAGTGCCTGTAGCTCCATCGAGGATGCTCCTGGGTGCAGATAGCTTTTTATATAGTATATGGTAATGAAAGTAATTTGTGCAGTAATTTGCTGCTATCCTTATTCATGCTGAGCAACCAGCAGCAAGCACCACTGCTTGTATGCCATCTGTACATATGTCCAAGACACCACACTCCAGGGGCTGGAGAAATGGCTCAGTGGCTAAGAGCTCTGGCTGCTTTTCCAGAGGTCCTGAGTTCAATTCCCAGCAACCACATGGTGGCTCACAACCATCTGTAGTGAGATGTGGCACCCTCTTCGGGCATGTGGGCATACATGGAGGCAGAATATGACATAAATAAATAAATAAATCTTTGGGGGAAAAAAAAAAAAAGACACCACACTAAAGCCATGGGTCAAATCAAAAGCCAAAATCATTAAGATAAGAAGGGTTACAACACATACTTTCAGTGAAAGAGAAACACGTGTGTGTGTGTGTGTGTGTGTGTGTGTGTGTGTGTATACAACACAAAATATGTAATTCATGTATGGCAAAGTGGTTTACAAGCTCTAAGTCAGTTAGGGACATAGAACACTTGCCTAGAAAGCCCTGAGTTCAATCCCCAGTACCCGACAAACACGAAACACAAGCACATACACAGTGCTATAACCTAAAGTAGTAATAGCGGTGTACTAGAAGTAATAGACTTTCTGGTTGTCAGGAGTGTTTAAACAGAAAAACTACGCCTCGCTCTCTGAGTCCACAGGGAAAGAGAGGAGCCACACTCAAGCTCACCGACTACTTTGATTTTGGTTGTTTTCTTTTGAGACAAAGTTTCACTTAGTCAAGTCTAGCCTTGACATACTGATCCTCCCCCCTCCACCTCAGAGTCCTGGACTGGGATTACAGGTGCGCACCACCACACCCTTCCCTGCCTGTTTTAATTTGTAAGTGCAGACCTCTTCTCTTTCACATTGCTCCCCTCTTCAGGGTCTAGCTCACGTAGAAATAAACACCCCCCCCCCCCACTTCTTAGTCAACAAGACATGAAGCAATGGCGGGAGCACTGAAAAGGGAAGGGTATGCTCTCGGTTACTGTACCTGATTTCTGGTTCCGGTCAATGAGAGGGAGAGTGCTATCATCGTATGAATGGCTGCTCTGGCTTCTCGATGCATTGTTTAGATTCACCTGGAGGCAGACATAAAACCCAATGTCACAGAAACCTGAATATACCCACTGCTCTCTGCCCCCTCCTCCTAACCATTCACCTCCTGCTTCAGAAGCTCTTAAAGACTAGTGATTTCCTTCTCTGTGATGGCTTGCCCAAGCCCTCACTCACATTCTTCCTCTGGCCGACTTAAATTTCTAGGTTCCTACTGACAACTATAACTCTTCAGAAAAAGAATCTGAGGGTAGGCAGTGGCACTTATCTATGATGCTGGTACTTGGGGGACAGAGGCAGGAGAATCAGCGAATGGTAAGCACATGGAAGGGCCAGAGTGTATGGGGAGGGGTCACAATGGCCGTATATCACCACCACTGGACAAAGATAGTGTACCAATAAAGTCTTCACTATCAGAAAGACTTGGGTTTAGAAGACACCAAAAGACAGAGGCACTAGCCAAGGACCAAGGAGAAGAAAAGCCAAAGCTCTGGCCAAGAGTGTTGGACCTGGAAGTCTGATTTCTTCCACCCTTCTTTTTCCAATGGCTTCCGAAGCTCCTTGTAGCCCCAGATCGTCTGCAAGACAAGAGCTGCTGCCCGAACTTCTTTTTCTGAGCGATTCCTATGGAGGAAAGTAAAACCATACACAGCTTGGCTCCAAGACCAGGGAATCTTGAACTTGTACTCTCTAACACAGTAGTTCCTAATAGCTTCAAAATAGTAGTTCCTAGTAGCTCCAAAATAGTTCCTAATTTGTACCTTCCTAATACACAGCCCTTTAATACCGTTCATGTCCTGATGATGCCCCAATCATAAAATTATTTTTGTTACACTTCATAACTATAATTTTGCTACTGTTGTGTATCATATTGTAAATATCTGTGTTTTCTGATAGTCTTAGATGACCCCTGTGAAGGCTCATTTGACAACCCCAAAGAGGTTATGACCCACAGGTTGAGAACCACTACTCTAACAGTACAAGAATATAAAAATGTAAAAATGGGTGAAATCAAAGTTTTCACCAAATTATATATTCTGCCTGAAACACTGACATAGTTTTGGATAATGGATGTATGCGTCCATTAGCAATGTAGAGACCAACATTAAGAATGAAAATTGTCACAGGGTAATGTAAGGGAAGCAACCTCAGCAGAGGGCAGCTCCTTGCAGAAAACTCTTCTCTCGTACTCAGATTCTCCCAGCTCTGATCGAGTATAAACTCACCCTGATTTGTTGATCAACACCAGCTTCTCAATGCCCTGGGTCTCTCGAAGCTTTTTGGCAGCTTCCAAGTTCTCAGCAATAACTTCATTGATGGTGTTCAAAATAGAAACCACAGTGTCTTCAGAGAAATTCCAGGAGGAGTTCTGCTGACCTCCTGGCAGATTCTTTACCAAGTTAGGAATGGCATGTTTGCCTATAGCAGAAGACAAAAGTAACCCAGGAGGGAGAAAAGGCAGTCAGGCCAGAAGGGGCCATACAATAGTTAGGAGGAGCCTTTACAGAAATCAGATCAAGTGCAATTTCTAGCCATACAAATCAACTTCATTATTAAGTAAGATTATATCAAAGGGGCAAAGAATACAAGATAGCCATGAACTCACTGCTCTTCCTCCTTCCTCAAGTGCACTAAGACAATGTGATACTGGCCATTAAAATAGACTGTCTGGTCTCTGCACATATACTAATGAAAACAGTATGTCCAGTATTATTATATGATAATTCAATGGAACAGAGTCCTTATGAATTTAAAAATATCAATAACTTGGGTTCTGCCACTACCTAACTGTACCTGGGCAAATGAAAAAAAAAATAGAAAAATTCTTAATAATACCTAGAGAGAAAGAAAAAAGCAGAGAGTCAACAAATAACCATGCTATAATGTTTTTTGAAGAAACATCCCCCCCTTGTGCTCTTTTAAGAACCACTATACATAAAGGAAGATTGCAGAATCCTCCTCAAGCCAGGCTCAGCACTTTCCAGCACTCGGGAGGCTGAGGCAGGCAGATCTCTGTGAGTTCAAGGTCAGCCTGGTTTACAAAGCTAGTTCCAGGACAGGTTCCAAAGCTACAGAGAAACCCTGTCTCAGGAAAAAAAAAAAAAAAAAAAAAGAAAAAGAAAAGAATCCTTCCCTTGGGTGACATCAACAAACAACTAAACACTTTGCTGTGCTAGCACTGATTCAAACCCTCACCAATTAACTCTTTGTTCCGAGCATCCACAGCCAGGTTTCTCAGCGCCCCGGATGCAGCTTTCACTACTCGCTCATGTTCGCTGGTCAGGAGATCAGCTATGGCGGAGAGAGCCTTCTCCTGACGCAGAGCAGAGCGGATGTATCGGCCATACTAGGAGCAAGCGGTAAAAAGATTACAAATGGCAGCAAACAAATGACCTAGTTCCCTGTCTGCAAATCTGTTCTCTCAGAGGTACTCACTGTCCAGCGCCCAGCACACAAATTCTGGATGGCTCCAGCAGAGGCTTCTAGGATGGCAGGCGTCTTGCTCTCCTTGAGGAGTGAAATGTATATCCGCACCACTTCTGGCTGAAATAAGAGTTCATAGCCTGTACAAGAAAGGGCAAGACAGAAAATGCTGATCGATGCTTACAAACCAGTGGCTGCCTACAGTCCTGCATCTCCAACACTGTGCTCCTTCCACATCCCTATCAGCTCAAGAACAAACTCGGAGGCTTCATCCCACATCTCTTTCTTCTCAAGTTTTCATTTTGTCTTTTGAGACAGGGTCTTGTAATGTCACATAGACTGGCCTCAAACTCATCATCTTCCTGTCTTATTTCTCAAGCACTAGAGTAGTCTCTCCAGTGCTAGGACTACAAGCACGGACCACCATGCCCAGCTGCCTGAAGCAGTATATACACACTTAATCTTAGCATTTGGGAGGCAGAGGCAGGTGAATCTCTGTGAGTTTGAAGTCAACCTAATCTATAGTTTCCAGACAGCCAGCGCTACATAGTGTGACCCTATCTCAAAAAACAAAACCAAACCCTATGGTGAAAACAGAATAGACATCAGTTCCATCACATTAAATCCTCTTTCCTTCCTCCTTGACTTGTACTCATGGCTAACTTAAGCCTTGTTTTCACCTTGAGCAATCAGGCTTAATGATTCAACCTGTCAAACAAATAAACTACTTCTGATTTAACTCACTAATTCTCCCCCCCCCCATGAAAACACCTAAATGAAAGGAACAACCTGAGACTTAATAATTAACATCTTTTGTATTTATGGAAAGCTAGCAAGTTTATTTCACCAATACAGTGGGTCCAAAAATCTAAGCTGTAATAAAGAGATTTCTTCTAATAGTAAGACTCAAGATCAAAAAAACTCCACTTGCCACTTAGCTAGCTAAGTCTGTCTTTTCTTTTTTGAGGCATTCTCTCACCCTCCATCCCACTCTGGTTTTGAAGTCACAGCAATCCTCCTGCCTTAGTTGCCCAAGTACTAAGTTTGCAGGCATGTACCATTACACCCAGCCTAGCTTCTGACTTGAAATTAAATACTGTGAGTTTTCCTAATACCTTCAATATCACTTCAAATCCAACAAGAGAGAATTGTTAATATAGTGCATAAAACATGTTCTCTGCAGACTGAGAAAAAGGACAACTTACCTCGAGCAGGACTAGTTCTTTTAGGGAAATCCACGGTATCGTTTGCTGGATCCTCTGTAGGCTTTTTCCCTATAAAAATGGGGGAAGGGTAGAGAGAATCTGGTAAGAAACTTTTAAAGAAAGGAAAGAGTTCATCTCAAACAGTTTTTCATTCTTCAGTCAGAATCTTCATCTCAGAGATGCAGCATCCAAAGAGCCAAAGGGAACCCCACACACAGCTGCCCGAACAGGACCCAAACCAGGAGCATACTGGTACAAAAAGGATTGCCATTCTTGCCGCATTAACTGAGTTCTGCTAACAGAGACTGCTGTCTAGACCACAGCACAGGAGAACTACACTTGTTCCCGTGCTTTTCCTGCGTGCATCACAGGGAAGGTTACACAAGGAAATATTAGGGAAGGAAAAAACCCAAACATGCAGATTAGAAGGAGACAAGCGCCTTGAAAGACTGCACTCACCTCTGGAGAACCACTCATCTTCCAGCGCATCGCCAAGGTGGGAAGCGAGGAGAGAAGGGAAGGAAGAAAACGCAGGAGAAAGATGTCAACAGGATCGTGGGCGAGAACACAAGAAAGCAAAGGAGGAGGAATAAGGAGGAAAGCCCCAGATTAGTTGAGTTCTTGTCCTTCACTGCCCCATATACCAATTCACTAACAACCATCACCACCGCCATCACCACCACCATCACCACCAAAGCATACAGAACAAGGGGAGCAGCAAAGCAAAAGGACGTGTCTTCACCAGGTAGACTTCCGGACAATTTATAAGTGCCTTAAAGCTAAGTGTTCCTCCTTGTCCCATATTAAAGAACAGGAACTATGACTCACCTTTGCCCTTCTTGGCCCCAAAGCAACTGGCAGCATGTGGTCCGGTATTGTTAGCCACACTGGGGAGTGCCTCTTGGTAGCGTTCTGCCTGTGGGATCTCACGGTGAACTTGATAGGATAAGTTCCGGAGCAGGCAAACACAGTTCTCCACAAGCTGAGAGATATCAAACGAAAGGTTCAGTTGAAAGAGAGAATGCCTGCAATGACTTCCAAGAAATTCTGGCTCCATAATTTGAATATTAAAATTGCAATCCTAAAAGGCGCCCCAGGCTCCTCAAAACCCCTGCCATCTTCAGAAGGTCCAACTACAGACACAATGGCTTCTGCAGCGATTTAGTGACGAGGCATCTAGTGATGTTCTCCCTACTTAAGGGGAGGGGCTAAAGAAACTATTTTTGTGATCATCCAGTTACTCTTTAACAGCACTTGCTGGACAACAAGCCAGGCATGGTCCTGAATGTACCCGTAAACCCAGTGCCAGAGACAGGATTGCTGGAGAGCATTTGCTGCCAGCCTAGCCAGAGAATACAACCTCAAAGTGAGATCTTGCCTCCAAAGAATAAGGCGGAGAATGTTCTCCTGCCGCTCCTGCGGACCTGCACTTCTCTTCTTCTAAACTAAATGCCCATGTTAAGGAGAAGGGTTGGTGTGAGTATTTTATACTATCTGACAGCCTGAAGTGGTAGATCTAAACCACAGTTACCTTGTGAACAACATTCACCCAGTCATTAACTTACCTTGCTGTCTGAATCCTTCTGCCCAATTTCTGCCTGAACAATGAAAATGAGGGCATCAACTAAGCCATCACATTCCCGAAGCTTCCGGCGAGCTTCACTCCTCTCTGAGCTTACATTTCTAAGGGAAAACACACAGTTCTGAAGATGACTCATGTCCCTGAAGTCATCCTTTGATATCTTTCTCCATCTATTCTAAAGCTTCCTTAATACCTTTTCTATTTCATACAATAAACAGTTCGTACTTATTAAAAGCAAAGCACTGCAGTTGGAAATTGACTGCTAGTCTGTCTTCTAAACTTTTTAAGCTTGCAGTCAGGTTGAAAAATGTATACCAAGGGCTGGAAAGGGCAGTCGTTCTAGCCCCAGAGGGCCTGGCACCCTCTCTTCAGGCACCATCAGACACCAGACACACAGGTGGTGCATAGAAAATATGTATACAAAACACCCATACACATTAAATAGTTAATTAAATATTGTATACCACAGCCCCAAATGGTAGTCCACACCTGTGATTCTAGCACTTGGGAGGCAGCAGCAGGAAGAGACTCTGACGCCGGATTGGACTTATTACAAAGCAAACCCTATCCACCTCCTCCACCACCACACACAAGTGTGTGCATGCAGGCATGTGCTTGTGTGCACTCACATGTGAGTAAAAATCAGGGGTAGAAATACAGCTATGTGGTATAAGCTTGCCCAAGTACATACAAGGTAACGGGTCCAATACCCAGCACCACAAAATGGGGGTTTGTGGGGATGGAACACCAACGTAAACGTCAGTAAACCCAGACAGAAGAGTCACTTATTCCATAGAAGTACACATCTAGGGAGTGACAAGGTGCCTGACTTGAAATGCAGATAACTGAGACAGGGACTAGGGCACACACTGGTAAGAACCTTAGATGTGGGAGGTTCTACACAAGCATTTACCTAATTAGATAGACACAAAAGTGACCAGAGCGGGAGGAAGAAGGTAAGCAGGGTGCACACAAGAAAGCAGCAAAGGCAGGTAGGCTGAGGTCAAACACAGCTCAGAGTGGAAGCCTCAAGTAGAGTGAAAGCTTGCCTAGCAAATGCAATGCCCTGAATTTGGTTCTCAGTACAACAAAGTAATAAAAAATAAAAGGAGCAAACAAAAAACAAACCCTCAACTTCTGATTTAAAAAAAAAAAAAAAAGAAAGAAAGAAAGACATTCTATCACTCCACAAAAGTCCACACTGGGATGCATGTGTGCGCACCCAGGCTACACTTTACACTAAACTACAATTTACCTGCCGCCAGGCTACTCCCTTTTTGAGACAGGGTTACAAAGTACCCAGCTAGTTTTGGGCTCATTCTAGCATAGGCAGGCTACTAACTCAGTCTCAGTGAGGTTTACAAGCCTGTACTACCAAGCCCAGCAAGCATTCAATTTTTATAATCTCAAAAACAAACCCTTCACTTACCTAAGGCAGCCGGCTGTGTTAGTGAGCACCGACTCCCATTCAATGTGCCGCGGCTTACAGTCCTCATTGGGTTCTCTCTCCCAGCCAGAGTGTGGAATGATCACTTCGTCCGTCAAGGCGTGCAGCGCATGGTCCACAATCTCCATTTTGATTGAGTCATGGGATGAGAGATTCCACAGGGTTCCTGGCAGGGACAAGTCACATCAGAGGGCTCTCCAGTGCCCAAGACAAGAGTCTGAACAGTGTCCTATTCCTTCTTATATGCCCATTACAGAGTCTACGTGACTCCATGGAGTGTTAGCTAGGCTTCTTTCTGCTTATGACCCACGCTAAGATATATTTTATTCTGTAGTTCAATACAGACACACAGGCATGAAATAAAGGTTTACAAAACAGTATTTACCATAATTCATGCTCAACAGGCTATTCCAGCTTCTCTACCTCAGCAACACTGTCACTTGTCACTGTGGTCCACAGAATTCTTTGTTGTGGGCCCTGACATTGTCTGTCTATTGCGGGATGCTTACCAGCTAACTAGTATCCTTAGCCTTTATTCATTACATGCCAAGGATTCTCTACCCCACCCCAAATTATAATAGCCAAAGCAACTCCAACAATGGAGATGTCCTCTGGGGGCCAAAATATTTTGCCAATTGAGAATCAGTATTATTTATCTTTCTTCTTCCTGTAATTATGATTAGGCCCACATTAAGGTGCTCAGTTCACACTAATGGATCACCCCCTATACAATCTGGAAAATATCATTCTAATTAAAGGACTACAAGCTCAAATTTCTAAATGGAACAGGCAGGTTGAGTCAAGACAGGCACATATTTAAAACAAATTATAAGACTGTGAATAAATGGCAACTGACATTCAGCTTCTGTGTTTGGGAAACAAGCTCCTCTACTACTACAGTTGGTCAAAAATAACAGAATGTGCCAAACATGGTGGGTGCATGCCTTTAACCCCAGAACACAGGAGGCAGAGACTAGAGGATCTCTGTGGGTTGAGTACAGTCTGCTCTACATAATAGTTCCAAGACAGCCAGGCAAAGACCCTGTCTCAAAAATCCAAGAGAAAGTGGCTGGAGAGATAGATGACTCAGCAATTAAGGGCATTTGCTGCTCTTCCAGAGGACACACGTTCAATTCCAGCACTCACATGGCAGCTCACTCTAACTCCAGCTCCAGGGTACCCAACTTCCTCATACAAGCACACATGCAGCCAAAACACCAATGCACATAAATACAAAATTAAAAAACAAAACAAAAACAAGAGAAAACACACAAGCATGCAGAATGTGTCAGAGATTACTGCCTGTATCATGTGACATCCAATCAAATCTGTGAGGCAGATTTGACCTAAAGGCCACTACTCCAGAACCTATAACCAAAAGTTAATGGACTGGCCAGGCATAATGGGGCACTTGGGAGACAGAGACAGGCAAATGTTTTCAAGTTCAAGTCCTGCCTGTTCTACATAGTGAGTTCTAGGCCAGCCAGAGCTACACAGTGAGACCCTGTCTCAAAATTAATCAATTAATTAATTGAAAGGTAATAAGACTGGAAACCTCTAGATCCCTGCCTCTCTAAAAAGTGGCTCCCAACCCAGCACTCACCAGTGATGACTTCAGTGAGGTCCATATCACGAGCTTTTCGCAGCAACCGGACAAGGGCAGGAACACCATCACAGTTTTTTATGGCAATCTTGTTATCTTGGTCACGTCCAAAAGAGATATTCTTGAGAGCTCCACAGGCTCCAAGGTGCACTTCCTTTTTGGGATGGTCTAACAATCCCACCAGCACTGGGATACCCTTGAGCTTGCGCACGTCAGTCTTCACCTTGTCGTTGCGATAGCACAGGTGCTGCAGGTATGCGGCAGCATTGGACTTCACAGCATCCAAGCGGAAGCCTAGCATGGCGATCACCTCCGGCAGCTCAGGCTGTCTCCAGTTTGAAGGTGGGGGCATTCCCTTTCGCAGACTATCCAAGCTTGCTAAACTTCCCCGCTCATGCTGAGCCAAAGGAGCCCAGTAGTACTGATCTGGTGGCACCTCCTCACCAATCATGTCTTCATAGCTCCTGCAGTTTTGAAAGAACCAAGAACCAAGCAGTTAAAATCAGGCTTCTTGGACATTCCTGTTACCCATCATCTTCACGGCAGGATTAACCCCAGGTTACACAGAGATAATATATCTCTTCTGTATGGTCAATTGTAATAATTTTGTGTGTGAATGTTAAGCATTCTTTTTTTTTTCTTTTTTTTTTAATATTTATTTATTTATTTAGTATACAATATTCTGTCTGTATGCCTGAAGGCCAGAAGAGGGTGCCAGACCTCTTTACAGATGGTTGTGAGCCACCATGTGGTTGCTGGGAATTGAACTCAGGACCTTTGGAAGAACAGGCAATGCTCTTAACCACTGAGCCATCTCTCCAGCCCCCAATGTTAAGCATTCTTGATGGCCCTCGCTGATAAGCTGGACTGAAGGCCCTGCAGACCCAGGACCCTCCTGTCTGCCGTCCCATGCTGGGGTCACAGTGTGAGCCATCACAGAGGTATTTCGGCAAGAAACTCAAACTTCAGTCCCTGCGCTGGTGAGGAAAGCATTCTACCAACTGAAACATCTTCCTGGTCACAATTTTAATTTAAAAGTAGTCTGTATTTAGACTAAAACTCTCTCTCCCTTTTTTCCTGTGCAGTTTTCTGGCTGAAAAGCCAAGTACTTGAAAACGTTAATCACTAAGTCCTGAGGCCTTAGCATTTACTTGAATGACATGTGACAGCTATTAACTTCTCTGTAAGGAATGAAATAAATCCAGGTCAGAAGAGTTAAGCAAAGAGACTGATTCCATGTCACCTAAGTAGGCCAACAAAGCCTGAGAACAAGCAAGCCTTCTGAGTCCACCACTGGGGAGGCAGAGACAGGATCACAAACCTGAGGCCAGATGGGTCTATATAGTAAGTTCCCGGCAATCTAGGGCCACAAACCAAGATTCTATACAGTCTCCTCCCACCTCCACCCTCCAAAAATAATAATAATAAGAAGGAAGGAAGGAGGAAGCTCTGAGGATCGCTCTTAAATCCTAGCTGAACAGGAAATAAGGCATTATGCACAGGAAACAGCTAGTAGAACAAGGCCATTAAACATATTTCATATTAAGCTTTTCCTTCCCCTATTTTGGAAATTACAAAGGAGAAACTGATCAGGAAAAGTGAAGGGCTTTTTGCTACACTGTTGAGGACTTGGCTTTAGCACTAATGAGGTATAAACTTAAACATTACATGTCACATCCCAGACTAGTATGTTCCACAGCTTTTCCTGCTTCAGTACCACCATCAACCACTAGAGGGGGAGCCTTCCATATTGCCTTCATTCATAAGGCCCAGGAAGGAAGAGCCCCTTCATCTGTGTCATCTCACTGTGTGGGAGCCACAAGGGAGAAGAGAACCTATTGTGTGGGGCTCTCCAAAGACTGCCGTTTGTTCCACAGAACCCCTCCCTGTGGTCAGCAAACACTGAAAGCTAGCTTCATCAGATGGCCTGCCCAACAGTACCAAAACTGACCATTAAACAATGAGGAACATAGAGGGACAAATCATTTAGACAAAAAATAAATAAAACTTAATTAAAGTCACTTTAAAATTTAAAATGCCACTGAAACAAAATAAAGAAAGTTGTTTTAAAATCAGATTACTAAACATTCTCTGAAAGAAGACTTCCTTTGAGTAAGAGAAAATAGGACACGTGTAAGAGAAACCAATCTGTTCTTCACGAGAGAACGGTGTTTCAGACTGTGTGTGTTGAGCAGATTTTACTTTTCTTGTTTAAGCGCCAGTTTTAGAGGATCTGACATCCTCACACAGACACACATGTAGGCAAAACACTAACACACATAAAACAAAAATAAATAAATTTTAAAAATATTTTAAAAAATTCTTTCCTTTTACAAATAACAAAACTGCCCAAATGATCAGATAACTCGCTTAAGGCTACATAGATAATGGCAGAGGAACAGCTAGAAGCAGAGTTTTCAAGTTCAGTGGCTTTCCCACTAATTACTGCCTCACAGTCTAAGTTTGACCTTGCAACCGATCTTGTAGGCACGAACAGGAAGTAGAAGATGTTTTTGCTAGTCAAGCAGGTTTCTAAGCCCAATGCTACCCTGGAACAAACCCAAGAACCAAGCCCCAAACCCTCTCTATGTGAACTGCCACTTCAAGGGACAACAGGGAATGGCCTGGCCATCCACACCCAACTGTGTCTAATCTCTCTCTGCTGATGAGGAAGTCCGAGCAAGCAGACCTGCACTCCGGTCCCACTCCCTGGACAGACTATTCCAGTGATTGATAGCTGCTATCTACCCCAGGCTAGCTAACACCAGCTGAGAGCTGGTGCCCCATCAGACATAAAAGGTGAGTCACATGGGAGTTGAATTTGCTAACCTCGCCGTCTAAAGAGTGTCAGTGACTCAGGCTTAGATAATAGGGCCTCTACTCCTGTCCCCAGACTAATTCAGTTTATGGCTAGCCAATACTACCTAATATATTCGAAAAGTAAGTGCCAAGACCTTTGCTTTGAAAGGTCACGAACCTACATACAGAAATTGAGCAACAGCTGCCAGGGTACCCTCACTATATCAAGATAACTATAAATCTTGCCTTAATTCTTGGCTTGGAAAATATAGACCCTGATTTATTCTAAACTAATGTTTTCAGCTCAAGACCAAGCATGCTTTTTGTACACAAAAACGAAGAATTTTTAAAATAATCTTTTATAAACATGAAAATCAAATAAGAGATATGACAGAGGTACTAATGCATAGCACACAAAGCCTGAAGTGGGTCCTTTAGAGGGAAAGAGAGAGAGGGGAGAGAGAGGGAGGGAGGGAGGGAGGGAGGGAGGGAGGGAGGGAGGGAGGGAGAGAGAGAGAGAGAGAGAGAGAGAGAGAGAGGGAGGGAGAGAGAGAACGAGAACAAAAGAAAGGCCTCCCAGGCAGCCAGGTAAATTGGCACATGCCTCTCATCCCAGCACTCTCTCTGTGTGGCAGCGGCTAGCCAGAGCTACAGAGTAACACCCTGTCTCAACAACAGAAATAAAGGGAAGGGAAGAAGGAACAATGGAGGGTGGTTGGAGGGTGGGAGGGAGGGTGCATCGATCAATCACATTCTAAAATGCACTTCCAAAGCAACTACTGCTCATCCAAACAGTCACCCTTCATGTCCCAAAGATCACCCCAAGGAGTAAGTCCCCTCAGCATAAACAGCTAGCTGCTTAGTGACCTTTGGGAGTATTACTAAGGGACCATTCCCTACTCATTACCTCATAAAACCCTAACTAAATACAAAGTGCCAGGGCTTCTGTGAGGTCAAGAGTGACTGTTTATAAACATCAGGATTAGAACTACAACAAGGACAGTCCTTAAACAATCTTAATTGTCTTCTAACACCAAAAAAGTAGCTCAAAAAGTTCTCAGAACCAGGACTGTGAGCACTGCCAGGCTCCGGGCCTCACACTCTTTGTGGTGCTCCGTTCTCTATCACCAAAAGAGAGAGATCTCAGGCAAAAATTATAGCATAGCAACAAGGTCTCTTCTTTAGGGCACAGAACAATAACTAATCACTTTTTGGATTTAGAAATGTCCACAGGATAGTCCAAACTGGCCTTGAACTTGGCTGCAATCGTCCCAGCTCAGCCTCCTCAGCAGTGGAATTATAAGCGAAAGTCATCACCTGGCCACAGATCACTTTCTCACCAACTGTGGTGACACACACTTGTAGTCCAGACTTAGAAGGTTCAAGGTCATCCTTTACTACTATAGCCAGACTGGGGGACAGATGAGACCCTGTTTCAAAAAGCAGTGGCAAACAAATAAAAACAAAAAACCATTCAGTGTAACTAAAATGGCTCTAAGAAACAAGAAAGGAAAGACAGCAAGTCTACATGCGATGAGCTTCCATGGAGGAGAGAAAGGAAGTGGTGTCCACAGGGCTCACTGACCCCGAGAGCTCAGAGGACAATGCTATCCTTCCCCATCTGGACAAAGGAGCCTTTCTTCCCCTCTTCCTGCCCACCTGAGACGTCGGCGAGGGTCCGACGGTGTTCCTGTCCGGCGAGCAGTGCCGTAATCGGACATCATGCCGTAATCTAGGTCGTCATAGCCCATGCTGCGCTGATCATCCTCCAGCCCATAAGGCTCTGGATGAAAGCGATGCAGATCCACACTGCTCCCCCCTACTCGAACCTGGGGCTGGGGACCATAGACATCTTGTCTACTGGGTGCCCGGTAGCCTTCCATGCTGGGTCTATACCGCTCCTCAATGCGGGTCACCCGGGACAGACTGCCATAGTTGTCACTTCCGCCCGGATAGCCGTCTTCATAGTGCCGGCCATACCCATCTGGAGGGTAGTGGAAGTTCCTAGGAAGAGTTGCTGTGCCTGCCTGCCCCACATAGGGACCAGGCCCCCCATTGCCATTCTTTCTGAAGTCACGGCCCAGAGTCTGGATATAGCTGTTGGAGACCGAGGCGTCCACAGGCAGTCCGTCCGGTCCCATGGGGACTGGCTGTACCGTCCGCGTTGTCACTGTCTTCACAACTTTCTTAACCTTCAGATAAGGAAAACCAATTATTGAAGGAAATGAAGAATCTAGGTTTAAATTCCACACTATCCTAAGAAGAAGAGAAACCTCTACCTCCTATCTTTACCTACACATCTCTCTCACCCCACAGACACCCACATGGGAAGCTGATCCAGCCGTCATACGCCACTCTCTTCCCCTCCATCACATGCCCTGCAGTGACCGACCTGAACCCACCCACCTGGTTAACTCTCCACTAAAGACCACAGATAGCCCATCACTCTAGGACACACGAATCCCAGCTTACGGTCGTCTCCGTTCGCCTAGTGGTCCCATCATCTGAGGTCTCCACAGAAACAACAGACATGGCTCCTTCAGGGTCCTCCTCTGTGTAGGTTTCCACAATCTGCCCTGGCTCCTGCATCCTGGGGATAGTGCTATACAGAAGGTGGTTGTGATCCTACGAGAGAGAAGTGACATAGAAAAAACTAGATCTATGTAGTAACAATCCACCCTAATAAGAAACGTTAGCGCTCTAGAGACAGAACGTCTTCATGCATCTCGCACTGGCCCCAGGGTTTTCAGAAAGACTGGTTGTCCTCTTCCAAACTTGTAAACGGCAGGGCATGGTAGTACACACCTTTAATCACTGCACTCAAGAGGCCAAGGCAAGAGTATCAATAAGTTTAAGGCCAGCCTAACTTATAGCCAGCCAGGACTACATAGTGAGTCCTATCACAATAAAGTAGTAACTTGTATTTCGAGACAAGGAAAGAGGACAAACCATCCTAGTGGCAGAAACAGCAGATTTAACTTCCCATTCTGGTCACTTACTTGAATACAAACTGTGTTAACTGTTACATCTAATCTGAGTAACACTTCAAGAGAATAGCATACTCAATAAAGATCTTTTAAGATTTAAAAAGAGAATAAAAATAATCAAGAGGGTTTTACTGTGCTGTAGGCAGCACCAGTAGCTGACCTGGTGTAGGCTAGGCAAGCACTCTGCCTAACACTGAACAATCCAGAGCCCTCTTCTAACTTTTACTCTGGGACAAAGTCCCAGGAATTTCCCAGGCAGACCTTCAACTTTTGGTCCTCCTGCCTCAACCTCCAAAGAGACTGGGATTAGATTTGCACCATCAGGCCCAGCAAGAGTTATATTTCAATTTTTTTTAATGTCATTCATCAGATACTCCTCAGTCAGATTTCAGGTAAGCAACCCCCACACCCCCGCACTCCTACCAAGAAAGCAACTGCAGTACCTAAGCATCAAATGAGGATACAGGAGCACAATGATAAAAGCCAGATTTTTTTAAATAAACAAAACTATATATAATTTGGAACAGCACCTTTTTATGTTCCTAAATTAAAGAACTAATTAATGAGTATTTACAATAAGCACTCCAGCACACCAATATGATCACAAAGACTGGAGAAGTAAAAAGATAAAAATGAAGCCATCCAGACCTTGAGTCAAACAATTACCTGGGGTCCGTTGAGTTTCAAATCTGAAAATTTCTGTCTCTCAAGGTCAGCATCGCCCATAAACCGGCCGTTCTGAAACATAGCCCACAAGACAATTCATTTTCTGGCCTTCCTTTGTTCTTTCAAACACAAACATCTTTCTCTCCAAACAGAGAAAAAAAAAAAAAAAGAAAGAAAATAAAAGGCTTTCAAGAAGGTGTTTGTGGCCTCAAATCCTTGCATCGGTATTCATAAAAGACCCAAACACTTCTTAATCTTAATTTTACCACATTCTCAACATTGGAGTCAGGTCTACAATTCTGGCAGACTGGGTCTCTGGAACATAACAATGCCAAATGTCATGAGCACACAGGGTTTGAGGTCAGTAGTTTCAAGGATGTATCCCTAATGTCTTAAGCAGTGCTTGGGCACATGAGAAGCATTCAAAAACCATGTGCTGAATAAACAGCAGAGTCTCCTACACACAACCTTTTTGGAAAGCCCGAAGACTATAAGAAAAGTGAGAAAAGCTACGTTGGGGAGGGGGGTATACCAAAAAGCTTTCTTTATTGTTCTAGAAATCTTCATGCACTGCTACCATGGGAAACCCCCATTCCAGGAAGCTTTTTAAAGAAAGAAGAGTTAATTCTCCATTTCCAAATATGAAGGAAAGTACTCGGCGGTCCCCTTCAAGAAAAATCTTAATATCTTTATCAAGTTACAGCCACAGAACATATCCTAAAATGTTCTTAAATTGCTCTGTCTTAAGCACCAGGAAGACATAACCTAAGACACTATACACACAGAAGCCTGCTTCTTGCTCCTTTCCCAGCAGAATACAGTGAGACCAACAGCTCGGGAGACTTCCTCTACCCATTCCCCCTTTACATAGACGACAATGCTGTAGGGGTAGGAAGTTAAACACGGCTTTCAGGAAGAAGGAAGGGTGTGGTTTCATTGCTGAGCAGAGGTTAAAAATAAAAGAACAAGAGAGAAACCACTAAAGCCTGGGATTCCCCACCTCTAAGCCTGAGCAGCCCCACTTTCCTTCAGTCTATCTCATTCCTAACTCTCTACTCAAGTCTGTAAATTTCCCTGACCATTGCAAACAGTCTCTTCTAAAATCCTGATTATTCACAATTCAGATTAAACCCACCAATTTTTAGGATCAAACAAGCAGCTGGACATGATTGTAATCCTAGCACTAGGAAGGCAGAGGCAAGAGGATCACAAGTTTGAGGTCAACCAGAGCTACATACCAGTATCTTGTCTTCAAAAATTCAAAAGTCTGGAAATATTGTTTAGCGGCCTGGCACGCAAAAGACCCTGGGTTCATCCCTACCTCCTCATACGTCAGTGAATAGTCTAGGATGTAACTTTGTGGCAGAGCACTTGCCTAGCATGGTCAGAGCTCTAGAGAATGTCCCTAGCACCACGAAACAAACAAACAAACAATCAGTTAACAGAGCTGAGCATAAGCTCTGCTCTAATTCCACTCAGAGACCTCTTCAGAGGCAGTCGCACGCGCGCGCGCACACACACACACAACCTCAGACAGAGTACATCACAGTAAAGTCAGACGTAAGCCACAAGAAACAGAATATACTTCTTTTTTCTAACACCAGCCCCCCCAAGCCCATCACAGCCAGTTATCCCAGAGACCACCAATGGCTCCCGCAGTTACCTGGGAAACAGTAGCATAATACTCCCTCTCCAACTCCAATCAATAAAGATTAATAATGACTCCTCCTTCCAAAACATGTTTTTTTTTTTTTTTTTTTTTTTTTTTTTTTTTTGACAGGGTTTCTCTGTTGACCAGGCTGGTCTCGAACTCACGGAGATCCGCCTGNTTTTTTTTTTTTTTTTTTTTTTGATTTTTCGAGACAGGGTTTCTCTGTGGCTTTGGAGCCTGTCCTGGAACTAGCTCTGTAGACCAGGCTGGTCTCGAACTCACAGAGATCCGCCTGCCTCTAACTCCCGAGTGCTGGGATTAAAGGCGTGCACCACCACCGCCCGGCTCCAAAACATGTTTTACACGCCCAATAAAAAGCACACAAGTAAAATTTGGACCAGGAATATACAATCTACCAACACTATAATGCTTTCTGAGAACAAACTGTTCTCTGGATGAGACTGAACAGAGCTAGAAGCTCAAGCTGCCCAACTTCTCCGACCACTAAGCAGACATTCTTCCCCTAATTTTTGACCCTAAGAGAAAGGATATCTCAAAGAAAACAGAAGTGACTTGAGTGTAGCTCCACTGCATTACCACAACTAGACCTGCATCCCTGCCCAGAAAACCCACTCCAGCAAAACAGGAAGTCCCCCAGCTCAGAGGAACAACAAATCCCTCATCTCTTATTCAGTGTTTATTATACCCATGGCACAGTTCATCCGAAGTATACACACTGGACAGCCCAGGGCCAGTAATAGCATCTCACTCTTATGACCATGCCAAAGTCCTACCTGCGGGTCTGATGAAGAGAGGGTTACCTGATGCCGACGGGTGAGGGTGCCGTTAGCCATGAGTGTGTTGGCATCTTGTGGTGAGACCCGGACGCGTTCCAGTTGCGCCGAGACGTGGCGCCGTTCCTCCTCCAGCGCCCGGGTCAGCTTCTCAAACTGGGCCTCTTGTTCCTTCACAGAGGCCAAGATGCTGGCGGTCGACTCCACCTCTGAGTCGTCCATGAAGGTAAGGGGAGGAGCCGCCGCAGGGCAGGATAAAAAGTGAGGTGGACCACAGAGGGAGTAGGAAGGAGGGAATAGGCCCCCCTCACTTCACACTAGGGAGGGGGTGGTAAGAGAAAGAGAGAGAGAAGAGAAAAGATCACAGGTCAGAGAAGACAGATGAATTGTTAATCCCCAGTGCCAAAGATGCTCTCTGTAGTTTTACTGCAGTGCAGATAGCAAGACACCATCAACCAAGCTTGAGAGCCCATCACCAAGGTCTTCTCAGACAGAAGAGTCCTTTGCCTAGCCTCTTCTACACTCCACTCTCAACACCTATTGGAAGAAACGGTGGCAGCCCCACCAAAGCTCTACACTGTTGGCAGGACAGGGAGACTTTGGCATGGGATTAAAAATAGATTATTTCTCCCTGGAAAATTTTGCAGGCTTTATTTTAAAGTCTTAACTCCCTGGTACAGGTAAGCACTTACCGCCCTGCAGGGACAAGTTCCTCGAGATAACAGGGCAGCAGATCTAACCACTCCCAGCCCTGAACATTAAAAAGGTAGTGGAATGGGGAACCATACTAAATTAAAATGCCAGTTAGGAAATGGAAATATGCCGAGCAGTAGTGGTGCACACCCAGCACTAAGAAGGCAGAGGCAGGAGGATCTCTGTGACTTCAAGACCAGCCTGGTCTACATATCAAGTTCCATCCAGGACAGCCAAGGCTACAGAGAAACCCCCGACCACGGGAGGGGGGGGTATAGATAAGGCCTCTACCACTTCTGAAGAAGTAGGTCTTTCTATCTTCCAAAACTACATAGCATTATAGAGGGCAAATATGTTAACTGAAACAGCAGAGTGACAGAGATCACGTCACTGCATAAAAAGGTTTAGCCTCTAGCCCTGTCTGTGGTGGGTCCTGTAATCCTACCTTTTCAGAAGGCAAACAATCACAACCCAAGGTCTGATTGGGCTATAGAAATTTGTGGCCAGCTTGGGCAACCTTGTCTCAAAAAGTTGTTTTTTTGTGGCCAGGTATGGTGGCTCATGGCTTTACTCCCATCACTCGGGAAGCAGAAGCAAATGGATCTCTATGAATTTGAAGTCAACCTGGTCTACATATCAAGTTTCTGGACAGCCAGAACTACATAGCTATCTCAAAACTAGTAAATAAAATGTATATTGTTCAAAGGCAAACTAGAAGGAATTTTTTTCCTCCTCCCATATTCCCTTTCCTCTTACCAATCCCCTAAGGAGAAGAAGACACCTAAAATTTTACTTTTTAATTCTTAACAAATATATATCCCATACACACCTGTTAAGAGAAGGGTCGTAATTGATTGGTTTAGCACAGAGAACAGCCCAGTCTAGATTCACATAAGTCATGGAAGCATCCCAGCCACCTCAGCAAGCAGCAAGCAGGAAGGAGAGAGCTGCAGAAATACGTGGAGGAACATGAGAATGGGGGAAATAAACTATACCCAATGCATAAGTACCAGAGGGTAAGGGGGGACATTAGAAATGACAGGGAGTCATTTAAGATACAATTTGGAATTGCTTAATGTAACAATACCCTTTAAACTTTGCTGTGTTCAGATATGTGGGCCTTGGATGTAGGTATAGTACAAATTGTACTGTCACCTAGAGTGACTCTACTTTTAATTCCATGCAAAACCAGACCAGGTTATAATGTAGATAAAAACCCACATATCCTCTGTTCCAGGCAACCAATTTGGGGGTGAAATTTGTTGTTGGAATGCCCTTCCCCCTCCTTGCCACCCTTAAGGCAGAAACCTCAAAGCCCAGTCCCGGCATGCCCACAAAGACATTGAGAAACCAATGCAACAGTCATGGTGGGGAAGACATGTGGAGACTAGCCTAGGCTGGGCCTTCTGCTTAGGCGCTTTCCCACGCTCCCAGAGCCCCACCAAACACAAAAGCTTGGGCCTATTTGCCTTAGAAAGTATCCAGCACTCAGCAAGCAAGGGAACCCAGAGGAAACTGATAAACAGGTGCCCAGTGAACTGAACTAATTCAGTCACTAAATAGAGAACATGCCGAACTGTTCCTAAATCCCTCCTACCCAGCCCTGGGCTCCCACAATCCCTTATCAACTACTGTTTTCATTCAGACTAAAGCCCAGTGCTACTTCCTCATACTCCTACCCCACATTCCAACAGGCCACCCAAAGGTCTTTAGTAAGTACTCTTTTTTCTTCTTTCTTTTGCTGTTTTTTGTTTGTGACAGTCTCCGAGGCTGGCCTCAGACTCAACAGTAAAGCTGAAGCTGGCTGGCCTTGAATTCTTGATCCTCCTTCCTGTCTTCCTTTCCAAGTACTGGATATAAGAACTCACCACTCCTGGTTTGCTTTCATCCCCATTCATTTAAACACTTGTTCTGGCCTCCTGTGTGCAGTGACCTATGACTCCTCTTCCAGTTACTGATTCTACAGGGCCTGTCCAGTGGCTGCACTGCAGTTACCGCTGTGGCAGCCTCCACCCTGTAATCTTCTTGCTAATAAAAGCCCAGGCGACCACTACTATGGGGCACACAGAAACAACACTCCTTGCCGCAGAGAGACGTTGCTTGTCACCATGCCATAAATGGTCACTTTTTGCCCCCACAACTTTAATTCGATACAGGGAGCTAGAAGGAAAGTTAGGGAAAACACTGAGGGATCTAGGTCACAAGCCAGGGTCTGGAGAAGCACCAACTTCTCCAGCATCCTGGCTTTCAAGTTGACCAAATGACTCTGAGAGGAAAGAACAGATAAGTAGAAAATGAGGTCGCATTCTTAGCATGGATATAGATGTTCTATTTAAAAGAGAGAGGCAGTGGCTGTGGAAGCAGGAAACAACTGGCAAGACAAGCCTGGTCCCAGTCCTGACTTCTGGGGGTGGGGGTGGGGCTCCTCCCATCTGCCTGGTGTCAGCAGCTCCACTCCACTCCGAGTCAGAGCCGCTGTGAAGACTGTGAGACAGTGCTCTACAAGGTGAGGTAGTGAGTTGTTTCAAGAGTTACATTACTTCATGGTGATGTCTCAGCCCCAAACTATTTTGTGAAGTAGTAGATGAAATTAATCGGATCAAGAACACAACTGATTCTACAGAGTAGACGAGCTGGTTTCTCTACTCCAACTCCATACGGTGGTAGGAGGTCCCAACCTAACCAGTGTTTCTGAGACAGACGGTGTTTTCTGGTACCTGGCAGTCCCTGCAGCATACAAATCTAATACACTCATTCTTATTTCTTCCTCAGAGCCTTACAAGATTGTAAACGAAGAGAACATGAAAAAATGAAAAATTATGACTTACATTTATTGCCCTGGAAATCACAGAAACCATAAGGAAGTTAAGTTTTACTGCAAATGTGAAAACAGACTCATAGGTGAAAAAATTAACCAAGTTTCTAGAGTTCATAGCAAATTTAGAATTTAAACCTCGGTCCAGAATATTTTTAAAGCCTAAATTCTCTCATGCCATGCTGTCCAAACACAAGTTCAAGCAGGGCACATTGGCAAATGCTTGTTTTCCCAGCACTTACGAGGTTCAACAAAAGAACCACAGCCTGGGACTACATGACAACAAGACCCTTCAAAAAAGAATCAATGAATGGTCAGCCCAAGGCCCTTAGACCGATTATAGGGAAAGAGAAAAGGAAAGCACACATGGGAAGCTAAGGCCTGACACGCAACAGAGAAAGTCTCATAACTTGATGAATCACCTCTTCCTGCCACATACCATAAAGACTGTGCTACAGACCAGACTCTGCAAACCACTGACTGCCTAGCTGGTATCTAGAAAAGTCCTCCAAGTCTTTCCAAGTTTACCAATTAATGTTGCCAAACAAACACTTTCTCCAAAAAAAAAAAAAAAAAAAAGATCATAGAGGGGGATAAAGGGGGGTGTTTAATATTGTTATTTTCCTAAATTATGTTTTATGAGAATAGCTGTTTACTTTTAGTAAGTCACAGGCCTTTGCTGGATGGAAGTCACCCATACTAGAAAGACCTTCTAAGTCTATAGCTTACTCATTCAAGCAATGGCAATGATTAAAAAGTCAGTCTCTTCTGTTGGAACTTCAAGATAAGTTAAATCAAATCAAACATCCAGGAGGGCCAAAGAACTGGACAGGGCAAACGAAATAACAGAGCAATAAAACCAATCACCAGCCACACAGCCCTGGAATGATCTGCTCTTCTGTAAACTGGCTAGACAAAGCTACTTGGGGGCTGGTGAGATGGTTCGTGGGATAAGACTGTTGTGTACCAAGCCTGAAGACCTGAGTTGGATTCCTGAGACTACATGGCAGAAAGAGCACCCTGCTCCCTACCAATTGTCCTCTGACCCCCTCACGGGAGTTACAGTGGTCGTGTTCCCAGACATGTACACGCACAAAGAAGTGTAATTAAGAACATTCTTACAGGAATATAATTTGGTCATAGTGGCTCACATCTATAACCTCAGCACTAGGAGGCTGAGGCAGGAGAATTGATAGCACAAATCATCATTAGCATCATCATCCAAGAACACAGACTTTTAGATCTTGACTATATTCAAGTCCCAGATCCCAACATTTACATGATACTGGGCAAAGTGCCATTTTGCCTCTAAACCTCAGTTTTCTTCTCTGTTAAGGTGGAAAAATAAACCACATAAGGGTAGCTATGAAACTAAATGAAACAATCCATGTGAAGTACTGAGAGAAAGTCTGAGCATATGGGAAGCCATTGCCAGTCTGAACACAGCAACCAGTGTGGCAGCGTAAGAAACCACATGCCTTCCTTGCTCCCACCACTCCAATGGAATTCCTTACTTTCTTAACAGCAAAGATTAAATGAAATCCCTGACTTCAAAAGATCTAGGATCCAATCACTGGTTCTGCCCCCCACCCCAAAAATCTAGGAAACCTGGGAGAAGCAATAACTGTTTAAGTTTCAATACCTCCTGGAGCTTCAATTAATGACTACGCCTATCAGGCCCCAAACACCTACACCCACACACCCCCCAACACCCCACATGCACTTCCATGAAACTCAGGTGGATACATCCATACATGGTCAGCCCTGGGTGTGCACTGTGAAAGAAACCCCAATTTTCCCTGAGTTGAGGAGCTCTCTAAGCTTCGATCTTCAGGCTCTGGGGAAAGAGATTACATTCTCCTGTAACTAGTCCCAAAGTCTCCTCTTTTCTTCCTGTTAGTACATTATAAGTCAAAACTAATGCCACAAATCTATGTTCTCCCACTTTGCTATCTTCTGGGGCTATAAAATGATTTTTTAAAGCACCAAGCCTCGCACTGAACACCAATCAGTAACACAGAACAAGCAAGCACCTATAACACTGCAGAAATGGGGCTGGAGAGATGGCTCAGTGGTTAAGAGTATTGCCTGCTCTTCCAAAGGTCCTGAGTTCAATTCCCAGCAACCACATGGTGGCTCACAACCATCTGTAAAGAGGTCTGGCACCCTCTCTGGCCTTCAGGCATACAGACAGAATATTGTATACATAATAAATAAATATTTAAAAAAAAAAACACTGCAGAAAGGCTATGTTCAAAACTCACAGTTCAATGTTCCTGCTTGAACACACACACACACAGAAAATTACCATTCCGCTTCTAAATCTCAAAGAATCATATTCTGTGAAAACTTTTAAGACTCCGTATTAGGAAGAATGCTTGTACCAGAGTCCCACGTCCCAGCTCCCAACCCAACCCTCATGAGTTCCCAGCTTCTGAAATCCAGTCAGACTAACAGTGTTTCTCACTCCTCTGTTAAGTTCATATCCATACTAAGCCCAAGTCCCTGGAAGGTCTATGCCTGTCATCATAGTTAGCTGAGTGAGACATAAGGACCACAATTTAAGGCATAGTTGGGCCACAAACAACTTCTCAAAAAAAAAAAAAAAGTAAAAAGAAACTTCAAGGGCTGGGGATATTAACTGAATAGTGACAGTGCTTGCCTAGGGATCCTGAGTCCTAGTCTATGGCACACAAACCAAAGACCCAAGGACAGAAGAGCCCAGTTCAGCCTGGGCAACAAAGAATGACAATAACAGTGTTATTAATAATAGTCTAAAGGGGACTCTGCTTGCCTCACGATTTCATCTCAACGGAAAACCACCGAGTCACAAGATTTACACCCCAGAAACTGCGGTCTTCCCAAGGCTCCAAGGCTCCACTTTACTAAAAAGGCTAAAGAATAGTGTCTAACTGTGTCCACCCTAAGGCTCACTCAAGGAACTAATGGGCCCTCTGGTCCTATCATCTTCCCCTGGAGAAAAGAACATATCTGATTGCAGTGCCAAGGGAAAAGAACTTAAAACACATGAGAGCTTTTTTGCCCCTAACTTAGTCTCCACATGGGGCTGGAAGGATGGCACAACAGTTAAGAATGCCTGCTGTTCTTCCACAGACCAAGCATGGTTCCTAG